TAGTTAGCTTGAAAAGCACTTGTGATACTTTTCTTAAAGTTGATCACCCATTCCTCCTCTCCTGTACCATAAAACACACCCAATACTTTACCACTTGATGTGCTCTGAGCAAAGCAGAACCATTTATCCAATTTTTCCACTGGAACTGGATCACTACAGTGTATACAATAAAAAAATTGCATGCCTACATTTAGTGACGGAAATAAAAAATTTCAAAACTAAATAATACACTTCATGAATTTTCCTTGTCCCTTCAGTTTTTTTACTTGTTGCTATCTTCACTGGTTTTTGTGATGACACTATCTCTGACTTGCATGCAAGAACGAATTGATAGCTCCTTGTTAAATGTACCAACTGCAAGAAATAAATGGAATATGTACTAGACATAAATTCAAAATTCTCAACAAATCAAAGTGAAAAATACCTGAATACTACAGTGCTAACATTGCTGACCTGATTCACAAGAGATATCCACTTTTGCAGATATATAGACTTGTTCTCCTTTGCCTAACTCCATTCCAGCTTGATATTGATACAAGCAACTCTCAGAAACATTCTGTGCAAGAGAAAGAAAACATGAAACAATGCATCCAGTATATTTACTTTGCAATTAGACACTTTCACATATTTTCCATAGGTAATTCCACAGGATAGGAAGAATGAGAGAGCAAGAGCTAGTAACACAAAGTCTTTCATGCTAAAACTTGCAAGACTCTGTGACAAAACTCAGTATACACTAGCTGCCTCATATTTATACTAATCTGCATGTTGCTGCATGCCACCTGCATGCATGCATTTTGTTGTGCCGCATTAACTTTGTAAAAGATTGCGCCTAATTTCAGTTTCAGTGTGCATGTACCTAGACACCTGTGTAAACAGCATACATGGTCAACCACCCATATAATCCTTTTAATGAAACATGAGTGTTGTCTTAAAAAGATAACTTGTCTTAAAATACCATTAACAGTGTTTGTTTCAACAAAACAAATCCAATAACACAGCTTTAATAAACATTTTGAGATACAATATGTTTTGTAAATTGTCGCTTAAAGGCTAAATAAACTTATGGCCTAACTAACATGTCAAGCAGGATAAATAATGCTGTCCTACATTCATATAAATGATGTTTTGCTAAAATAGGCATCGTACATCAAGTTGCTAATGTACGTGTGCAATGTACGAGTACAATGTAGGGTAGGATTATCCTTCTAGTCTATATACTTCATGTCACTAAGACTTATAATTTGTACATGCATGTACATGCACTGACACTCTCTCACTATCTTACTATTATTTTTTATCAAACTTTAGACACAATATTGACCATTAACTTCCTATGGAAAACTCTCTTTCAGCCATTTTTGATGCATGCAGGGCCTTTGTGCAGTGATGTGTGTGCATCATCACTGGTGATCTACTTGAATATCTTTGTGATTCATTGTTTACAAAAAATAAAAATGCTTATATTCTAACTATGCTACACTAATAAAAAGCTTAAACTCAACTACAAAAAAGAGGAGTCCATTAAAAATGATCACATCAGTTTTCAATGATGATTGAAGAATATCAATTTGACCTTCTTGTTGAACAGAAACATCGTGAGGCTCCATATTGGCTACCCTTGCAAAGGACATTGAGGGGGTGGCTTCCATAACAATTACAAGCATAACACAGACCAAACAGTTTCTTTCTTCTATTTACTAGGCTCCAAGTACGTGATAGTTTACGAAATTTTTTCTTTTTTCTCCAAGAAATCTGTATATTTGTGACAAGAATGAATGAATCAGAGAAAGAAAAATAATATTGCCATTGCTGGATTATTACTGATAATATCACCTTGCACTTGAGCCATTTACACCGGATTCTCCCAGACTGCCGGTATGCATAAACAGTAATATTTCCTCGAGTTGTACCATAAACTTCAAAGCATGCATTAGCATCCTGTGATGATGAGCCACAGAGTGAGGTTGATGCTTCTGGATTAATGGTATAGGATATGGAGGCTGAGACTTCAATACCTAATTTGTATTTAATCTATTAGAAAAAGAAAATCAAATAAAAATATCTCTGACAACCAGCTTCTTTTTCACTCTACTCTCATATTTTGACTCTCACCAATACTCTAGCAGTAGCCTTTCCTGTAACAGTTAGAGTAGGTCCTGTCTCAAGCTTAGCTGATGCCTTCATGTTAACATCATTATCCAAACGTCCAATGAATGCATTGAAATTCATTTGTCCAGATATTTGACCACTGAGAGTGACTTTCAGAGTACCTACAATAATA